CAGCGACCGGCTGGATCGAGTTCTGCGAGAGACACGCCCGCGCCTCGGCCTCCGACTTTGCCAAGGCGTTCTGTGCCTACGTTAGTCTGAACCTGCCCGAGAGTGCCCGCGCCAACCTCTCGCACCGCGACTTCCTCCGCAAATTTGTCGAGAGCTTCTGCGAGCATTTTGAGAGCGAGTACCTGCGTCAGAGTGTCAGGTGCGTGTCGCGCAGCGCTTTTATGTTGCACTGTCACGTAGAAATGTCATAGTGAAGATCATTAACCTTCGTACCGTCAGGAAATAAACATTGGAGTAATCGTCCGAATGGCAAAAATTTGGAGTAATCACTTTAGTTGAAGAGAAAACTTGAATGCATAACTTTCGTACAAAATAGAAATAATTTACGAGAAATTATAAATAAGTTAGGGTTTGTTACAGATGCTTATATTTATTATAAACTTTGATAAAATATATCAAATACAAAATATTTTATATGTTATTTATATAAGAAAAAGATGAAAATCTAAAAATTTAAAGTTCTTATCTCATACAAAATGTTGCTTGTAATTTTATTTTATTATATGTTGTATGTTATAAGAATATATTTTATAAGAATATATTTTATTTACATTTTTATTTTTATAATTTTTTTTTAATTATTGATATTTGGAGTTTTAGATTAGGCTTTAGTTTTAGATTAGGATTATAATATATACATATAATATATATATATATATAATAGTAACATTGTTTTTATATTTTTTAGATCACTATCGTTGCATGATACTAGGAGTATAGTATCCAATGAAAGAGACATAAATCTTGCAAGTCAAAACACTAATGCACCAGTTCGAGCATCCTCCCATGAAGAATTTAGTGACTATTCCGAACACGAAGGAGAGGCAGTGTCGCCGAAGCCCAGTCACAAACCTTTCTTCCGCAGATTATCTTTTAAGGGACTTAAAAAAGGCAAGAGTTTCTTCCACAAGCAACAGAGCGATGAAGTCGAATTATCTCACAGTGAACACCGCAAGGATAAACACTCCAAGGCTAAGCTGTCGAAAATCGTGGTGGAGTGTCGTAAGGAAGGAATCGTTAATGCCTTGATGGGAGAGAACATAGATGGGACGCAGAAATGGGAAAAGTCACGGCTAGCTTTGATAAAGGCCATCGGTGGCTACATGTTGGAGTTCTACTCTCCACCGAAGGCTGTGAAACCACGAAGCGGAGTCTTTTGCTCGGCGATAACAGAAGCGAGGGAAACCACAGCGCTCGAAATGCCGGATCACGAGAATACGTTCGTCCTGAAGACTCAAAATATGGAATTTGTTATCGAGGCGCATGACTCGAACGACATGAAATCGTGGTTGGCAACGATTAGGTACTGTATGCGAACGGTACAGCAAAGCTCGAGCGCTCCTGGTTCCGGGCCGGGTGACTCTTTAGGAGATTCTCTGAGCCACGGTTCGCTTGCTATCGGATCCGACAGTGATCGATTACGAGCCAACTCGGCGAGTAAAAGCTTTCGATCCGCTAGTCATGAACACGGCGATGACTCGCAGGGTAATCCACCAGAATTACCTCCGAGACTCCATGTGCGCAGCAGTAGTAATCTAGAATTATGTTCCTCTCAGCAAGAAATTGAGCAAAGTAAGGAATAAATCCTGCAAAAGTAAGTCAGGCAAGGGCAATAAGTAAAAAAATATATATATATATATATTTGTTTGCTTGCAGTGTCTACTAATGAGGGTGAGTTGGATTTATCGAGTAGCTTACGAGAATATCCATGGTTTCATGGCACTCTTCCTCGTTCGGATGCCGCGCAGCTTGTATTGCATAGTGCAGCTAACGGTCACGGCGTTTTCCTGGTTCGGCAAAGCGAGACTAGAAAAGGCGAATTTGTGTTAACTTTTAATTTTCAAGGAAGAGCAAAAGTAATTACATCATTTTCAACACTTAATAAATGATATTTAAACAGTTTTTAATATATATGTATTCATTTTTACAGCATTTACGAATGACACTAAATGATCAAGGTCATTGCCGAGTCCAACATCTGTGCTTTCCTACGATATATGATATGCTTGAACACTTTCGCCAGAATGCAATACCACTCGAATCTGGTGGGACTGCGGATGTTACTTTAACAGAGTACGTAGTGGCGTCGAGCCATGCATCGCGACCAGGACATCATAACGTAGCGAGTAGCTCGAATGTACAACAGTCGCAAGAGAGGAGACCTCCGGCAACTCTGGAGCCCAGAGAAGTAAGAGTCTGCAGTGGAAGTCTAACTCCTCTTGTGTGAGCGCGAGTGGCCAACACCCACAGTCTGAAGTCTAATCTACAGACAGTGAGTAGATAAACCAGCTAAAGCGTCCATATTTATTGTATGGTCGATGATACAGAACAGATTTAATATCTGCATTTGTGCAAATTCGCTGGAAACTTGATGGAAATTTGTATAGATTGATATACAAAGTTAAATATAACGCATCCTATTTGTGTCCTATTTACAAAATCCGACATTTATTTAATAATTTATTTAATATATGTTCAAAAAATATGTACTTCAAAAAGAGTAAAAATAATGTACTGTTAAAAATTTCTTATGTTCATATTTTTTCCTAATTTTATCATGTCCAAATATGTTATGTTGTACAGCACATTTTTATATCTTTTATTTATTTATTATTTTATACATTTTATAAATGATTTGATTAAATTTGTATATCATTCGTCTAAATATGCAAAATTATTGTGTGATGAAATTTTTATGAAAAGTTTAGAATGATATAAATGTATGAAATGTAATATTCAGAGAAATATGACCGTGGGGCAAGGAGCTCGCTTTTAGTAAGTTTTTTCTTGAAATTTCTGGTATGCTTTATTGTTGTATATTGCGTATTATAGGAGATTTATGTTTCAACTTCGTCTCAAGCAATACAGGAGCGTTCAGAAATCATTTTATCTAATTAATACTCTAATAAAATAAAATTGCCACTTGCGACATTTATCAAGAAGCTATGAAAGTATTATTAAATTGGCAGAGTAATATTACAGTATTTCTAGATGAAATATCCTGATTGCTTATATTTTCGCAAATGTTAGAAAAATTTTCGTCAATATTTCTTATTTTAAATCTATAAGACTTATAATAACACACGTTATATGAGTATATATGTCATCAATAATATTTATTTCATGTAACTTTTTAGTTATTTTAAGTAAAATTTAATGTATACACAAAATATCAATTTCATTCTTTGATATGACATGGATATTTGCATTTGCCAGTTGCTTATATCTTTCATAACAAATATCTTTCATAACCAATAAAATGAATCTGTTACATTCAGTATCATTTTTTTAAATAATTAATTGTAACTTAGTTTCATTTTCTAAAATATTGACGAGTTTTTTTCTAATATTGACATATGTACGTTTTATTATTTCTAAAATCCAGAAACTTTAAGAGAAACTTCTGATAAGATAGCAAGATTAAAAATATATATGAATGCTTAATGAGATGTTAATAAAATAGGTTCGCACTTATGGTGGTTCTATAAGAACTCGCGTGGAATCGTTGGAGAGACTAGAGCAACAGAGCACCATTGTGGAACAACAGGGCTCGGCTTCGTCCACCGGCAGAGCGGTTCAGAATACTTACAGTTTCCTCTGACGCTGGATTCACGCTAATCCGCCATCAGGCTACAATCCAGTCAGTCCGACGGATTGAATGTGAACGATATGATGAAGTAATCGCAGTTTTTATCTCCAGAATTGCGTCACGCCATAAACCGCTGTTTTACGACAAAGCGCATCTCTTTGCTAGTACAAAAGAATTGCATTTTTCTTTTTAATATAACTATCTTCCAATCATTGACTCTTGCATTCAGCATTCGACATTATACTTTTATGATTTATTAGCAACGCATTTGCATCGCATTTACATCGAATAATAAGAAATAGAATAGACTACCAACAAAACGAGTCTCAGTTAGCAATGGTCATTTCATAACGTGCTCAAATTATTCCCACCTCCTAATAATGCTGTAGCATTCCATGGAGCTTCGTTTCGCAGGTTTGCATGCATCTGTGACACGTCTTTTTCATCGAGACCGAATTAATAATCTCCTCATATATTTTTACTGAGAGAACGGATATATTTTAATGAAAGATCCCGAGTCTCGTTACACTGCTTAATTAATACACGTAACATTGTGCGTAAAAACGTATGTGTGTAATTGGAGAATGATAGTCTCCGAAATCTTGAATTATGGACTGCCAGTATAATGCAATCCCTATTTGTGTCTTCGGATCATCCCGAAAACGTGACAAATGCGCCAAAGCTAAAGCTGAATTATTATTAAACTCCCGCTTCTCTCGTCACGTCAATTTGTTATACAAAATTACATTTCAGCCGCATTGTCACTAATCCCGATGCTTCATAGGGCAAATAAATGTAACAGATATGCCCTCGATATAATTATCGATAAGCATAAAACGAGCTGCGATATTTATAAATTACCCTAATCCTCGTCAGTGTAAAAATCATTGATAAATTTCTCCACTTGGGCGAATAACAAGAAAAAGGGGGAAAAAAAAGAATTCAAATATGTTATCATTCGGGATGAATGGAAAGAGCAAAATATTTCATGCTACAGTAAGTATCCCATATATCCCTGCAGACATCATATTCGATAAGCGTATCGAGAAGTGTATTAACAAATTGTGTAACGACTAAGGATTATCACTAACATCATAGAGCAATATGACTGAGTGTGCAAAATTAGACTATAGACAAATGTATGGATGAGTGATACACGTATGACAGAGAGCTATGATCGACGGAATATCCGATATGTGAAACGAGCAATGCAGATATTCTCAGTATGAACCGAACTGATTACTGTGATAAGATCTCTCATTCGCACAAGGCATTCAACAAATCCCGTTGCCGTCCGTGCCAATCTATGTTCTTATTCATAAGAAGCATAGAGGCAACAGGGACAAATTTATCAGACATTTGTACATTTCATTCACTATTCGCCATCGAAAATTGTAGAAATAGAATTTCCATCGCGGTCTCAAAACAAGAAGAGGGAAAAAAATGTAGGAAAATTATAGTCGATCTGGAAAAAAAATCTGTATCGCAAGTTCATCCTTTAGCCGAAATGCTCGCAAAATCATGCTGTAAGTAGGATGTAAGCTTGTTCCTCGCGTAGCCGCAGTTGAACAGACAGTCCTGAAGTATACAGAGTTTGACAACTAGGCATTCAATCGTAATACTTTTCTACCTTATGTCAAGATGCAAGGATGAAAATAAAAACTGAATTCCCTGAAAGTTCTCTAATATTTACTTTTAATTATCAACAAATATTGTACAAAACATTTGTTTATTAGATAGGAATTATTAGGAAGATAATAATCTTTTATATAGTCATTGATTTTATTTAATTTTTATAAAAATATATTTGTGTTATTAAAATTAATTTAGAGATATCTTCACACATTTTTTTATTTGAAATTAGAAAAGTTTAATTTCTAAGCTATTCTTATCTGTAATTTCTATTCTAATTTCAATAAAACATTTGTGAAAAAGGAAAATTTTCTAATTCTAAAAATTAAAAAAAGAAAAATAATAAGTTAAATCGAGATAAATTAATTTTACATTGCAATCTCGAACTTGAATGAATCAAGATCCAATTGCTCTAGCAAGTTTGAAATATTAACAGAACTCGAAACGAATATTCTTTGATTTTGATTCAGGCCCAATTTCATAACTCATGGTTAACTCTTAACCGAGGTTTAATTATTCCTGATTTTTTTCTAATGCTTTTTTCTAAAATTGGAAAGAGATGAGAAATAAATTGAATCTCAATTAAGAGTTAACCGTGAGTTGTGAAACAGAGTCAATAGACTATTCTATAAATAAACGTAAGTGTAATTAATTTCTCATTATTATTAAATTAATTACATTAATTATTTAATTATATAACATTTAATTATACAGAATATAATAGAATGGTCATTGAAGAAATCCTCGATCGACCTGTCGTATTTTTTATTAAATTACTAATTGAACTGGATAATGGAACTTCTCAATAACAACTGAAGAATCGGTAAAACACATTTTTATACTTTGGATTTCCAAACTTCTGACTAGATACCTATTTCGAATTTTAATATTCTAACGCAGAAATGAGTATGTAAAATTAGATTTGACAATTTTATTATGTATTGCATGTAATTTCGTTTGACTTTGTAAGGAGTTACATAAAAATGTTATTTATTATAACTGAAGAAGACTTTGCAAGTCGAAACGTTTGATGAATTTTATAATGCTATGCGTATGTAATTAAAAAACGAATTTTATTTTTTGAGTTAATTGTAATTGTTCGTTTAAAAAGCCTTGACACATTAATTATATTATTGCTTTGTGAAAATAATTAAACAATGGTGAAAATTCTTCAAAATTGTATACAAAATTAATGCAATAATATATCTTTGTGTTAAATGCATTAACTTTTAATCGGATTTTCTTTTTAGATATTCTCGGAATTGTTTTTATCGAGCATAAAAATCAGCAATCGGTTCAACAAACACATATATACAGTGTGTATAAAAAATCTGGAACTGGTCGTATATCTCGAAACAAAGCATTTTTGAAAAAAATATTTCAGACAAAAGTTGTAAAGTTTAAAAAGAATTATTCATTGATCACATCTATTTTATCTTGGGTGACGTCATCAAGATTAGATTAAATCGATTTTTTTTTAATGGAATCCTATTTTTGATAAAGAATCTAATAGCTGATGTCAAGAGCTCTTCAAAATATATATTATAATAAAGTTATTTTTCATTAAGTACTTTTCGAGTTATAAAACTTGAAGGTACGGTATCGTCAGCATTACGCAATTATAATCGACTGATGGCTAAAATCTCTTAACAAAGAGAATCAAGGGAGAGTGGAGCCGGATTCAGCCATGGATTCAGCCAGAAGTTTCATGTTGAAACTTCTGAAGTACACCATTGAAGTGAATACTTGACTTGTGGTAGGAGCGTGATAGAATTATTGTATCGTACTAGTATTATGACTGTGTTCCAAAATTGACCAGTACTGAAGTCTATAGTGCACGTAACGTAAACTGTAGCATTTTCAATGCTGGCAGTAATTTTGGAACACGACCTATGTATATGTACACACACATGCACATTTGGGAACCAATCAGAGAAGAGAATCACTATCCGCTCCACTTCTCACCCTTAATTCTCTCTGTTCTTGAATGTTGTTCAGGATGTCATGGATAACATTTATCAAGATCATGACCATTGGAGATTATTCCTCTTATTGCATTTTGGCACTAAAAAGTTCAGTTTTACGTAAAAATGAAAAGATTTTGAAATTTGAAATTTTCGACCGACGACTGTTTCCAAACTTTTCGATGCGCCCTGTATATATAGTTACTTGAAATTAGAATTATCAGAAATGGCCATTATTGGCCAGCACAATCTATATACGATATTTTTAACACTGAAGCTGCAGATAAGATTTCTGTCTGCTGATATTCCTGGTTTTAATACGATCAGTCCTACGGCCTACCACGTCACCTAATTTGGCAATAACTCATTTGACACATTGAAGTCGAACCTACGTACTCCTCAGAGACATTATGGCAGCTCAGGTAATAGTAAAATGATATTTCAATCTCGAAATTTTGATAACTTTAAATATATATTTAGACGACAATGTTTGACGATTAATTTGTTCATAAGGTACACGAATTTAACGTTGAAATGACGTGCGAGGGATGCTCGACAGCTGTGCAGAACGTACTCGGGAAAAAAGCAGGTACTTGAAAACATTTGCATTCAATTTGCAGACGCAAAAATATTTTCGTGTATCCGCCGTATTTCATAAATTATATCTTGTCGATACTCTTTGAAGACATTATTTTTTACCAGAACCATGTAAAATGAGGTTAAACATACTACATAGAGAAGTAGAAGTGTCAAATATAAGAAATAGCACAGTTGTAATTTTTTAGAAAAAAAAAATACATTCCAGTCGACACAAATTAAAGGTAGTATATTAGTGTTATAATTTCACACTTAATAATGTAATAACTGTACAATATGTGTTATATTTCATTTATATATTGAGAAATTATTTTATATATATTGTTACTTTAGTTGGTCGACTGGGATACTTATGTTCAAAATATCTCTAACTCATTATATACTATATATGATATGTAGGTATCGATGACATCAAGATTGATTTATCAGAGAAGAAGGTATTCGTGACCACTGCGCTCAATTCGAATGAGATTTTAGAAACGCTCAAGAAAACAGGAAAAACTTGCCAATTTTTACAAACTCATTAAGGGAATTAATAAGTGAGTGATTATATGACGTGATTGTAACAGGAGCTGCTAAATATGTCAGGCTTACATTATTCTTATGATATTTTTTTTGTAAAAAAGGAAAGTCGCGTTCAATTACTAATTCATAAATATATGTACATACAAAATACAAAAATAATGTATTTAAGATTATGTATAAGAAAATATCTTGTATTATATTAAGCAGCTTACATATTACAAATTCTTTGAATTTACTATTGAATTTACAATATATATTAGGTATTTTTGCATGAAATTGAATGGAAAAATAATGGATTTCTTTTTACTACACCTAATACAATGCAACGCAAGATAAATTATGTTTCTCATATAATATAAAGCATCGAAATATTAATTTTGCAAATATATATATGAACGCTGAAATGAATTTATTGTATATTATTTTTTTCGAAATACTATTAAAAAATTAATTGTGCAATTATCAATATTTTATAAAAGATCAATATTTCTACACATTTATTTTTATACTCATAATTGCAGATCAGAAATTTTATGCAAGAGATTTATATGATCGTAGCAGGTATTTCTAAAAAATGTATAGGCATATATTAATACAGAGATTATTTATGTTGTACATATATATTTATAAAAAAATATCTCACTCTTGTATATGTACAAAAAATACAAAAATAATATATACATATATAATAAAATATCTTCTATTATCTTAAGTAGTTTGTGTATTACAATTATATTTTTTTAATTTTTACTATAATGTAACGAAATATGTTGCGTTTTTTATATTTGTAATATGAAGCATCAAATTTTTAGTTATCAGCAAGATTTACTTGAAAAATTAATCATTTGTTAATATTCTGATACGTACACATTATTCCAAGTAATTAATTCTAAATTATAAATCTAGTCTTTCTGGAGACACTACAAATCTAGTTTCCACAGTGCTTTTTCTATTATTAAGCATTGTTGTCATACATTGTAATGGTAATGTAATAATTGTATTTTATCTAAAATTTTATTTTCTATTGTTTTAATGCGATTGGATGAAAATACATTGGAAGATGTCTGATTGTGTAGGACTGTTTGAAACTGTTGCGAGATTACTGTGAATCTATTTTGTACACAATCTATTTGAAAAGGTTTTATGTTCTTCACGTTCACTTTAGATTCGATGATTTTCGCTGATAGTCTTGTATTGTTGTCTGATTCTAGATGCAACTTTTTTAATTTATTTGACAAATACTGAAATAATATATGTTAATATAATTAATAGTTCTTGATATGAGTAGTATATATATATATTTTTTTTAAATAAACTACGTTACTTTGTTTAGTTTAATAAAACATATTTGTATATTAAATTATTACGTTCGCTTGGTTCTGCTTTACGTGTGTATCTTCTTCACGTTCATCGCTGTTCAATTCTTCATTTACAATACCAAGTTCATATTCACTGGGAATAACTGTGGAATGTCTAGTTCTGTTATCTTCACATAAATTATTAGACTCCCATATTCGCATTCGTCGATCCGGGCCATTAGAAGCGAAGAACTTATCATCGTTTGAAAATGTTATGCATGTTACATTATCAGAATGTCCCTCAAGAATATATTGAACGGCTTTTTAGAAGATCTAAAATCTAGTATTTTAGATATTTCTTATTGCAGCAAACACAGCTTATTAGAGTTACTACTTAAAATCAAAATCTTAATTAAACCATCTTCATTGTAGAATCATCAGAAGCTGTTAATATAAAGTTTTCATTTAGATAGAATTTAACCATATTTACAGCTGCTTATGAACAGGATAATACTGATGTAAAGAATCTTAAATCATACAATTTAATACACCCATCCTCGTTTGCTGATCCAATAATTGTACCAGTTGGATACAACTCTACATATCTAGTGGGAACTATATAAAATAAAATTTTTCTATATTAGCTCTATATTTACATTAAGTAAAATTTTATTTTAAATTCTTAAAATTATAAAGTTTTAAAATTATAAAATTATATAAAAAAAATTATAATACATTTGACAAATTTTTTATATCATTAAAAGTTTTAACACATCGTCCACTGGTAAATATACTTTTATTGTTTGATCGTCGCTATACGATACCAAAAGCTTCCATCGAAAGAAAATTTAACGCAATTGACCGAACTTATGTCCTGTAAATGCGTATGTCTTGTAAATATCTTGAAATTTCCCATCAATGGTATCCATAGAATTATATTTTTATCATCTGATGCGGAAACCAACTAAACATATCGATAAACACATGATGAAATCAGTCTATAACATGATAACTTAGTCCATAATCATAGATAAACAATGATGTAATTGCCTAGTGAAACTTTATGACAAATCGACTAATAAATAATTAAACGCAAAAATTATCCCTTGTCCCCTTTGGACTAAACTGTACTGATCTCACATTAGATCTATGACCTTCAAATTTTGTGAAATGTCTATCTTCAGAGACTTGAACTCTGATATTATCTTCTGAAACACTGGCTATAAAATCATCATTTGGTGAATAGCATACATCCAATATATCAGAATTATGAGCTTCAATCTTTTCATATTTTGTTTTCGCATATATCTAATCTCCACAATCTTAATGTTTTATCTAAGTTACTCGATACAAAGCGTATTAGTTTGTATTGGATGAAAGCTTAAAACTGTAACATCACTGTGTCCTACCAAATATTTATATTCTCTAGGATCACGGCCAGTTTGTTCCATTGTCCTAGTAGCACAATAAATAGTTCACAATAGAAATAGTAAAAGAAAAATTAAATAAAAATATGTAAAACAAGATCACAATAAATAGTGAAAAGTGAACCTTCGATTTAAATATATTAAATTGATATATTAATTTTTAATCACAATTTTCGAATTATATTACAAATATACATGTATCTGTATAAGAATTACTTAACATTAATATATATATATATATATATATAAGATGTTTCAAAATTCGCGCTCGCGAAATACAAAATCACTCGTGATACTTTATGCTAAAAGAAATAACTTTTTCCTTTTGCAAAATTGCGTCTGACAAGTAGTTTTTTTGCAGGAAAGCAGGTTGAAACAAACGTAATAAACGTAAAAATTATTTATAGAACGCAATTTTATTAAAAGAAAAAATTATTTGTTATGAAGTATCATGTCTTCGTGAGTGCGAATTTTGAAACACTCTTACATAATAACTCCATTTACCAAACACGATTTAATTTTATAAACAATGGGTGCTTTCCAATTGCTTAACACATCTTAAACATACACAGAAATGCATAAAATACGTGTAGCATTATGCATGATTCAATTGGAACAGAATATGTATGCTGTGCGCGGTTGAGATTCATTTTGGATAAAATTAGATTAAAAGTAGTTCTTTCTACCTGTATTAAATAAAAAAAAGTAAAATTCCCGGCCATTCAACACTCTCGAATCTTATTTACAACCGCCGCGATTAGTAACATGTAATTGTAACTAGAAAACACAAACTTACACAGCTGAATACAAATGTGTAGTATTGTGTCGACAATAATGAACAATTGAAAGGCAACTTGTGTCGCCGTGTGCACGAAAGTGATCATCTAGGGATATTGCAATTGGAAAGCTTCTGTGTATTTTGAAATGAGATGAAAATTACAAAAGTGAGCAATGATTATTAGAATTACTTTGATCAATTAAATTGAATATTCTAGTGAATTTATTAACTTTTGTAATTTTCACCTCATTTCAAGATACACAATCGACTCCCTGATCCTGTTTAAACGGTGGAAACTAGGCCAATGTATGTATATAAAAAGTTGATTCACATAATATGACCGATTTAATTATTACCGATATTTGAAAATATACGAAAAAGTAGTTTATATCAATGTATTCAGTACAAAGGAGGATATCATGTAGTGGAAACAATTATTTTAGGAATATATTAATACATAGATTACTTAATATTTGTACATATATTTTTCATTAAAAAATTATACTTATTCGTAAATGTACAAAAAAATACAAAGATATACTTAAGATCGTTATATAATAAAATACCTTAATTCTATTATTTTAAGCTTGGCCATTATATTTTTTGGATTTACTATAACACAAAACATCATATGCTGCATATCTATAAGGCATCGAAATATCAATTATCAGCAAGATCCCTTAATTTTTGTAATATGCATTATAAAATTGTTCAAAAGAAATTTTATTTGAAAAATTAATCAGTTGTCAATCTTGTACACATACAATACATACACATATTATTAACAATTATAAACTGAAGAAGCTACAAAGCTAATTTCTTAAGCGTCTCTTCTACTATTAAACGTTGTTCTAAAACATTATAATAGTTATAATTGTATTTTATCTAAAACTTTATCTATTTCTAGTGATACAAAGAATTGATCATGATCAGATGACAGTTCACTGGATGATATTTGATTTTCTGGAACTGTTTTAGAACTGTGGTACTGTTGTAAGACTGTCGAGAATATCTTTCTTGCAAAATCTTTTTGAAAAGGTTCAATGTTCATGTCAATTACTTTAGATTGAACAATTGGCGATGATGATTCTCGACAATGTTTTTTTTAATATTTTGTTTATGTTTCTTTTTCTTTTTTTTTTTTTATTGTGTTGTCTAGATGTGACTTTTTTAAATTATCTGATAAATACTGAAATAATATATATTATAAAATTGACAGTTCTTGATATGACATAGCAACATTGTTTTTTTTTTTAATGCAATCGTTACTTAATCTCTAATTTAACCCTTTATAACCCAATGCTCTTGTTGATTTATTTTAATTTTTAAAAATTTTATAAATTACATAAATTTTTTTATAACCATGAAAAAAATTTGAGCTATAGAGAGTTAACAGAACATATTTGTATATTAAGTTATTACGTTCGCTTGGTCCTGCTTCACATATGTATCTTCTTTACGTTTATTGCTGTATGATTTTTCATTCACATTGTCAAGTTCTTGTTCATTGGATATTAACTGTGGAATATCACTGGCTCGACCATTCTCACATAAATTATTAGACTTCCATATTCGAATTCACCGATCCGAGCTACTAGAAGCAAAGAACTTACCATCATTTGAAAATGCTATAAATGTTATTTTATTAGAATGTTAGAATAAAAGTATAAATTGGACAGCCTTTTAGGAAATCTAAAACCTAGCCGATACTTCTTGTTATTAGCAAATACAATAATAACTTATTGAAGCTACATAAAATCAAAATTTTAAACTACCTTCATTGTAGAATCAGAAGCTGTTAACATGAAGTTTCCATTTGGATAATATTTCATCATATCATATTCACACGTGCTGCAACAACAGCAAAGTGCTGATATACAGAATTTTTCTTAGATCATATAAT